AACGGCGATTAGGTAGGTTATGCAATACAGCACAGTCGGTCCCTTTGTCTGCCAAACAAGACACAAGAGAGAAAAAAATAAAAATCCAAAGAGGCCTGACCATCGGCGAGCGAGGTCGGCCTATTGTTGTTGTTGTTGTTGTCGTTGTTGCAATCGGCCACCTTCCGTCTGTCATGGCAGTCAGTCAGTCACTCCCACTGCCCAGGGCCATGCTCCCCACACGGGCATCACGCGCGGCTCCAGAGATCCGGTGGCGCCTTTTTTTTTTCGCGAATTTCGGCTTCGACGTGGTCCCATGCTTGCCCAGACCGAGTCGAGCGGTCAGCAAGCTCCAGGGAGCGAGGCAATTGGCAATTGGGGCAGACAGGCAGGTAGGTAGGTAGGGAGGTAGGGCAGCAGCACGGCGGCAGACCAAACCAGAAGGCAGCCCCAGACCTGCACCGGAGAGGCTGGAATGGGTACTGGGTAGGGAGAGGTGAGGCGCCAGCACTCCCGTGATGCCATATCACATTCATGCACACTGAAGGAAGGACCCGTTTGTCGACGACTCGAGGCGCTGTCCTTGTCGCAGTCGCCTCCCTGCCTTCGCCGTTCTCTCTCGTCATGCTTCATTGACTCAAATGGCAGATGCTGTCAGGCCGCTTGTCCTTCGGTCCTTTGATCCTTTCAGAATCAGTCACCCAGTTGCTAGTCTCACTACGCCTATCAACAACGCCCGCCAGTGAGTGGATCCAAGAAAGTTGGTCGATTGGCGGGACGTGGCAGCTGGCAGTCTGCGCGCAGAGGACGATCGAGGCGGGTCACCATGAATGTGGCGCGCCCCAAATCCCAGCCAAGTGCCCTGCCGCTGCGATAACGTACCCACCGCGGCTTGGATTTATCACCATCTCTCTGTCCGCCTGTCCGCCTGCCTGCCACCTTGATCTCTCACGCAACTTCCTCACAAAGCTGCCGAAAGCAAAAAAACGGGTTTCCAAAATAGCATCAACTCTGCTTTTCGGGGCCCGCGCCGAGACCGACCAGTCCGCACCCGACACCTCGGTACGCCAGCGACGTCAGCCAAAAGAACGACATGGTCAAAGCGCCGTCATATCACAGGTCAGTTGGCGCTCTCGCTTCAACTTGAAGAACACAGAGCACACCACTTTCCCTCACAGCTCTCCCTCTGCGGAGGCGTGAGCCGCTCGAGGTCCGCTCTCCAGCATGATACTTCCTCGCTCCCTGTACAACGAATCTCCGCCGGAGCGCCGGAGCCGCATCGCCAACAACCCGACCCTTCTCTACAGCTGGTGGTGTACCATGTTCTCCATTGTCATCATTGGATTTCGACTTTCTGGCCGCTGCATTCGAAATGAACGCCTGTTCCGCGAGGACAAGGTCATGGCATGGAGCATCATTCCACTCTTGGCCCGCATGGCCTGTATACATGTCGTTCTCATCTGGGGCACCAACAACGTCGATGTCTCACAGTGGACCGATCCTCTCATCATTCGACGGCGCGAAATCGGCTCCCAGATGGTTCTTGCCGCAAGAATATTCTATGCCCTCTTGTAAGTTACTCCCAACACAAGACCCAATCTCTCTTTAACATCGGCCAGCATCTGGATGGCCAAGTTCACCGTATCGGAGTTCTTGAAACGCCTCACAGAACGCTTTTGGAATAAGAGCGCTGAGCGAGGGTTGCGTTTCATACGCGTGTTCCTCGTCGTCACATTCTTCATGGTCTTCATCGCCACCCTGGCAGGGTGCCACCCCGTAACCCATTACTGGCAAGTGGTACCGGACCCAGGACCAGAATGCCGGCAAGGTTACGCACAACTACTCACCATGGGAATTGCCGATATCATAACCGACATCTTACTGATTGCCTTTCCAATCCCAATCATCCTCACGTCCGGCATGACCTTGAAGCGGAAGCTCTCTCTTATTGCCCTCTTCTCCTTATCCGTCATCCTCATCATCGTCACAGGAGCACGAATGCCCATGGTCATCGAGAGGCAAGGGCTCCAACAATTTCGCACCGTTTTTGCATCATCCGAGATCCTCGCTGCCACCATTGTGTCGAACGCCATTGTCCTCGGGTCCTTTCTTCGCGATCGTGGCATTAAGAAAACCAAGTTCAAAGCACCGTCCACGATAGATAGCATGGAGCGTAGAGAGTCTGCGCGTCGTTTCACAATCCAGACATGCAGTAGCGACGAAGACCTTGCACGATCCCTGGGGTACCGGACCAAGCCAGAGCTGCTGGAAAAGACAAACAGTGTTCCAAGGCCGGCACCTGTAGCAGACTTGGACCTTCTTTCATCAACCAAACAATCAGGTCCCTTTACAGACAGCAGCTGGAGATTCCCTGATCAAGACCCTGATGTTACGCAGGGAGTCGGCATGCTGAAGCCCGAGGACATTAAGGATCCTATGCCGAGCCCGCGCGGTGGTAGACGTGTGTCATGGTTCGATGTTGGTGGACTATTGGAGAATTCCACTGTTGGTTCTTCGCCTACCGACTCAGTCATTGCGCATGACTTTGCATCCCAGCCCAGACGCGGCTCACGAGCATCAAATTCAATCATTTCGAATGCTCGCAACTTTCTCCCGCCCGCACGTCGTTCCTCGCGACTCTCGCAGCAGTCAGAAGACTACGAAATGTCCGCTCGACCTAGCAACCTACTACATGATCGTGGAGGTTTGCTGTCGGAAGACCGGGAACAGGAAGAAGCCGAGTCGAATCAATCGGCATGTTCAGGTTCTCCAATAAAGAGCTGTCTGCGACGAGACGCATCGTCATCACTACGACGAACTTCTACTCACACAAGCTACGATGTTCCATCTTTACGTGACCCTGGTGATCTACTTTCCACGCGCCCGCCTTCTGCCCCTGTCCAACGGACCAACACGCGCACCAGCTACGATACCCCATCGTTGCAAGATGCAGGTGGCCTGCTATCCCCATCAGTTCGATAAAGTTTTTTATTCCTCTACTTTTTGTGATACCCCGGTCTTTTGACCCTGCATAGCTTATTGACTGCCATTTTTCTTACCTCTTTTGAATCACATGTGCAGATTCTCTGCACGGTTGGCGCAGAAGGCTTATCTTATCGTTCATGGGTTATGATGTGTTGACGCGTTGTGCGTCTTTTTGTATATAGTAGCGTTGTAGGACCACTCTTATGCCGTCTTGTTGTGCACGGTACCGCCGTGAAGGTCTACTAGGGTAGAGAAATGTCTACGACATGAAATCGATACAGTTTATTGATTCTTGTGCACCATCATCTGGATAAGACCATGATGAGCGAAAAGGGAAACAAATCCTCGGCTGTGCATGTGAGCCGTTCAACCTAATCAACCGATGAATTGGACTAGGTTGGACCCTGGTTTACCGGCTCAACTGTTAGCCGTGGGAAGCTTGCATGAATCGCGTCGGCGAATTATTCACCAGAGCTTGGCAACATTCCAACGGCGTGGGATATCCGATCAATCAAGTAGTGCAGGGTTCAGTCAAAGCGTTTCCCCATTGCACCTTAGTCCGGTGAACACTGCTTTTCTCTCGTCCCGTGTGACCGTGTCACTGTCAATCTGCCCATCGGCGAAGTAGCTTTGCCTTGCTCATGGACGGCGATGCGCCTACGCTTCAAGAAATCACACAGCTAACCCGCCAGGAGCTTACCGCAAAGAGGGACGATGACGCGATACGTGAATGCGGACGCGCAGCGCTGGCGCTGTTGACCACTGATCCTGAACTCGCTACAAGACTGGCATATCAGAAACTACATGACGTGCCGTATAAAGATGTGAGGACGTGTTGGCGGCGATTGTACACGGATGCAAATCTATGGACGGTGCTGAGGCTGGTCGAGGGCAGAAATGAAGAGGCTGCAAAGGAGGCACAGCAGCAATTGGAATCAAGTGAGGGGACAGAGGAGGACTGGATAAATGAAACTATCAAAGCCCTGGACATGGCCCTTATCCTCACCGGTGCCCCAGCAAGAGAAGACCTCGTCGAACTATGGTTCTCTAGTCTCCAACGCCATTTATATCCACACGAACCCTCGAGACAATCACACTCCCCATCCGAAACCGCACCATTGCGACCTTGTAAACGTCGAAAACTCTCCGTACCATCCCTGTCCAACATGCCATCCAAATTTGTAACCATCCTACCCACGCCCGCGCCCACACTAGAATATCCCATTCCGCGCACACACGCCCCGAGTTTCGAAGCCTTTCAGAGGAAACTAGATGATCCCAACTCACACACCCCCCTCATCATCGAAGGTGCCATTCAGCACTGGCCCGCGCTCGACGAACGACCCTGGAACAACCCGTCGTACCTGATGCGCCAGACGCTCGGCGGACGCCGTCTCGTGCCCGTAGAGATAGGACGGAGCTACACCGATGAGGCGTGGGGACAGCGCATCCTAACGTTTCGAGAGTTTATGGAAACATACATGTTGAATAGATTACGTGTGCACGATGCGCCTGGGGAAGAACCCACCACCACTACCACCAAGACCAACAAAACCCAACCCTCCAAAGAACAACCTCAAACAGGCTACCTAGCCCAACACGACCTCTTCACCCAAATCCCCAGTCTCCGGCCCGACATCTGCATCCCAGAATACTGCTACTGCACCCCGTCTCCCACCCCCAAACCCCCTACTTCCCCACACTCCTCTTCTCCCTCCTCCCCTTCATCTCCCTCCCCCACCCCCACCCAACCCCTGCTAAACGCCTGGTTCGGCCCCGCCCACACAATCTCCCCCCTCCACACCGATCCCCACCACAACATCCTCGCTCAGGTCGTCGGCTACAAATACGTACGTTTGTATGCGCCGTGCGAGACGTCGCGCTTGTATCCGCGCGGGCGTGAGGCGGGCGGCGTGGATATGGGGAATACGAGTGCGGTGGATTTGGAGGAGGTGGGGGTTGGGGTGGGGCCGGGTGGAGAAGGCGAAGAATTAGGAGCAGAGGAACGGAAAAGGGCGTTTGAAGAGCGGTTTCCCCGGTTTAGAGAGGCGCGCTATGTAGAGGGTGTGCTGGGGCCTGGGGAGTGTTTGTATCTGCCGGTTGGCTGGTGGCATTATGTGAGGAGTTTGACGCCGAGTTTCAGCGTCAGTTTTTGGTTTTGATGTTTGGATTCTTGGGATTCAGAGCATGTTTGCGTCTTCCTCTGTGCGTGTGTATAGTATGTGCTCCATGCTCATGAAATGTTAATTCGTACAATCAAATTACCATCATAACATCATCTGGCCGTCCCATTCTACCCTAGTCTAGCCCTTGCAACCTCCTTTCCCCTCTCATCCATATATTCTCCCCCCACGTCTGTGGTCATCCATACCATCACAGAGAGTGCCTCCATCTATTTACTTCTGCCCCACTGCAGCTTCCATGCGCGCAACAGCCTCGTCAATCTTCTTGAAACTCCAAGATTCATAGAACGATGGAAGCAAGAATGGGCGAAGGTCAAACTACAATCATAGTAAGAAATAGTCAGCATCACATGTCCTCGACAAGATCCAAGGCGGGGGATGGACTACATACGCGATTATCATCAGGCGAGTAATCTTCCATGTGAAGTGCGGGTGTCAGGGTAGTCATTTTGTGGCGATTAATAGCCTGTATACATAATTGTGTCAGATGGATGTCGGTCGGCTACTAGGCGATTCTCTTGACAGCGGCGACGGGGTTCAAACGTACATAGCAATGAAAGAAGTGCTTGACTTTTTGTGCCGTCTCGCGGGGTGTGCACAGGTCTTTCCATTCGTGGACGAGGCGCTGAAACATGCCGAACTAGTTATATAGGTTAGGGTTGAGGAACACGGTTGATGCGTGCTTAGGGAGGTTTACAGGACCGAGTTTGTTTTCCTTGCGCAATTTGCCAAATCTGTTGGGGACTGGTGTGAGTAAAGTTACTTTGGTGTATAGATGGTGTCATTGGCTCACATGGATAGCTCGGCGTAGGCTAGAGTACTAGTTAGCCGACGGTCGCATTGTAGGGTGAATACGGACTTACTCATGCCCATATCGGCCTCGTCACATTGAGCTGTGGTATATGTTAGTAGGGTTTGCGACACTGAACTTGTGTATCTTACTATAGTTCCTGTAAATGATGACATGTAGTTAGCAACTGCCTATCATCTTACTGTAGAACAGATGACTTACTCAGTGAGAGGCTCTAGCTCGGCGGTTGGCGTTGCATCCAGAAATTCCCTACTACAGGTCAGCGGACCCGAGTACTAAAGTTTCGGAGCGGTATGACTGACTCGATGATTGGTAGCGAAAATTCTACCTGCGCATAACGAAGGAAACGTTTGAGATCTGTCTTTGAAATCGAACCTATAGGATTAATATCTGCACTAGAACAGTCGTACTTGGTGTAGTAGCCGCGGAGACACTCATCCACATTCGAAGAGCCCAAGACGAGTAGGCTACCTCCACCTGACCTCTTGCGTACAGTCGGAAGAAGTTGTGCCATTGAGTAGCTCGTCACCATTCGGCTTCGAGCCTAGTCACAATCAGTATATGACTTCTGAGAATAGACCATGAAATCTCACTTGGATGTTTTGAAGCAGCAAATTCTCGCTGTTGGAGCCGCCATGCACCCTGAATCGAGGCTCAAAGCCAGTGGCCTGGGTTATGATGCTCTTCTGTGCTTGGAAGACATCATCAATGTTCATGTCTGTGTGATACGCACCAATTGCAGCAGCAAGTCGCTCTGCACGGCTTCTTGTCTCTACGGAGCTCTGAGATGCCATACCCAGATAGACTGTATGCAATATCCGGTGGCAAATATCCTGTGGCGATTTGGGTTTCCAGCCTTCGGGACCATAGACTCCGGCTATGCGATTGAGATGCGATATTGTCTCAGGGTGACCGGCTTCTATGGCTTTGAATACCATACGACACATGGAGAACACAAGGGTTGCGGTGGAGGCGCTATCAAGACCTCCCGACAGCGGGATCAAGAAGCCAGCAGATTTGCTGTGAACAAGGTAAGACCACATGTAACATGCAGGAGCCAGGGCAATTTCTTCTACGTCCTCGTGCTTTACAAGCGGGCGAGCTGAACTTGGGGATACGTTGAAGTTCAGGTCTGTCTCAGGGCCAAGCAGACTGTAGTCGGCGTGGAATATTTCGTACTTGTGAGCTTTGACAGACTGAAGACCTCGCGCGGGATTGGATCGGAAGGCGCGTACTTCATCGAGATCTACTACTGCATCGATGACTTCTATCGTGTTCAAAGAGACTATAATAGTACACTCGATTAGCTAACCGTTTCTAGATATGCACATAGATGTAGCGAGCTCCATTGTAAAGCAGCAAGTATGTGTCTTAGCAATCGTATGAGACTTACATTGAGAACCCTGGGCAACGATCTGACCATTGACAATCTATCACATATTAGTAGATATGAGCATTGGGTTCCTTTGTCCACTCACGATCATGGCTGTTCCATCATAGTACAGCCTATCCCCATCTAGGCCCATTTGGTTGCTGTACATGTAGATGCCACCACACTATCGTACATGTCAGTTATTATTTAAAAGTATCGACGGGTGCCGTACTTTTCTTGTTGCTTCAGTGATGAGACCTATGCGGAGATCTAGCTTCCTGAGGCTGAAATGACTGTACGAAAATGGGTGGTCAGCCTCTTTTGTTGTCTGCTGGGCAGTGTACTCACGATGCAGAACTATTGACGATAATCTCACATCCCGCTAGGCTGAGATCGAGACTTCATGAGTGGTTTGCGTTAGTGATACAGCAAGTATTGCGACTGGTTGAATCTCCAACATACTATACAAGATTAGCATCTCGATCCAATAAAGCTGCCCGGTCCAGGCAATTGCCCTAAATTACCCTGCTGTTCACTGGGATGAAGTAGGGTAAGAATATGAGACTTACCTGTGGTGCTATTGGTGTCCACATTTCTTCACACGTCTCAAAGCCGAACATGGTCTCCTTGGTTGAGATGATACTGTCACCGATTGGGCAGGTCTCGCCACCCTGGAGATTGTGAAACATGGCAGGGAGACGATATTGCTCGACTTGATGCGGATTCCAGGGCTGGAAGTAACGAAGCTCACGATGATTTCCTTCTTGCGCCATGTGCATTTTGGGCCTTGTACATCAGCTGGAAATCAAGACGGCTTTGCAGGCAGGCTCACCGAATGAGCAGGATACGGCCGTCGAGAGTGATTGCACGACAGTTCAGCCGTAGTCCTCGGTGCATGACGGGCAAGCCAATGTCGAGGAGGATGCCATGAGTGGCGGGGTTGGACAGTATACTGTGCAGCATTTCCATTGACTATAGACAGCATGAACATGGCGGATGATGCAGTGGATAGAGCCCATTGGAGACTCACATGGGTGTAGGTATCCATTTCCAAGAAGTGATCGAGGAGTCCATATCCGCTAATTTCCTTGAATGGACAGTCAGTTGGTGTCTCTTGACAGGAAGGTTATTGTCATTATTTTTCTTACAAGCTCTGGGCCTGATCGGAAGGCACACTGGCGTTCCTTTGCAATGGCAATTGATTCCAGGATTCGATCGCGGTTTGGCTCCCATGCGAGTGAGTGTTGTGCTAGGTTGCATGCTGCAACCCTGATGAGGGGCATAGTGTGGTGTGAGGGGGTGTGATTTTTCTTGTGGTAATGAGGGTGGGGTAGTACCAAGGAGAGTTAATTGTTGCGTAGCCGGTGGTTGTAGTGGGTGTAGGTATGTATGAAGCTTTCTCGGATGACTCTAGTCCAAGTACCGGCAGCTAGTATGATGGATACCCACCTGCTGATGGTGTCTCAGAAAGGCTGGATGCAATCAGTAAGTAGTCCCGAGGTCGGAGGGTGGATGGTTGGGTGCGCACGTGATAGATGCCCACCACCTTGACTAGAGTATGTATACATGTGGGATGGCTTGGAGGGGCACGTGAGGGGCAGCAGCTTATGTCACTATCGATAAGGAGGGAAGCTCCGATAACAGAATTATTACAGTTTGGAGACCAGACTTCACTAGTACGATACCGGTAAGTCTCCATGTTCCGAGCAGAGGAATAACTCTTAGAGTCGTACTCTAGATGATGCTGTGTTGGCTTGAGAGCCCAGGTAGCCAACTGTAGCTCCTTATAGGTAAGCGTTACCCACCTTTGGTAGCGGCGATCCAGATTGAGGGTCGGAGTCTTGACTTGGCGTCTTGTCCAGTGAACCAGTGCAATCAGCTTCATCGGCCGCAACACAGTCAAGATCTGCGTGCCAAAACGGTCGTATCTCGGCCAGTCGCGAATCAATTCAACACATGGATTATGAACCATCTTTGTCTCATCGGCAACCCGGGTCTTTGCAGAGGTTTTACGCTGTTCTTCTTTTTCGGGTTTTCCTGTTTTGTTTTGGACGGGACCTCTGTCTACTCTACTCTACTCTACTCTATACTCTACCCTTCTACGGTACGGTGGCTGGTAGTACTTTACTGCTGCACAATTGTGTGGTACCTTCGTAAAGTAACGCTCAGTCAGGTCCCTTCCCCCCCACCGCCACCACCCCCGTCCTAGGCTCTTCGCTCCACCGCTCTGCCGCTCTACTGTCTACCGCTTGACCAAAACACCCGCCTAACCCCGAACTGGACCCTGGCTGCTGCTGTGATTTGTCTGCCGTTTGGCATTGGGTCAACCACCTTTGCGCGCTTCTTTGGCCCTGCATTGTTTGCTTTGCAGCGCCTGGAGAGACACTCTCTCCGCCTCGCCATTGCGGTTCTGGCCCAAATCTAGTGACTTGCCCAAGGGCATGGTCATCCGCTTTCGCCGCCACTAACAACCTTGCTTTATTTGCGGACTGGATGCCGGGCACCATGGCCGACTCCCTCGACGTGGCGCGCTCCTATGCTGTTGCACGCAGGCGACACAAGATGGAGCAAACCGACTCTGCAAAGATACGGGAGCAGCAATTCTACTTGTACGTCCATCTACATCTCTCCCACCGCTTTTTGCAATTTGTGTGACTGATGCAGCGCAAAAAAAGATACTACCCGCAGCACTCCAAGTCAGAGGACCTGCTGAGTCGCCATCCTTCACCCTCGCCCGTCTTGCATGCCGCAACTCCCCCAGGAACCCCTCCACAGACACAGACGACGGCCGACTATGTCCCACGCCCGTCCGAAGACAAGGCGTTGACTGCCTTTGCGCAATTGGGCGCCCTGCGGCTGAATGCTCGGAGATGTCTCATATCCTTCTTCGACCGCAAGGATTGCTTCCTCCTCGCCGAAGGCACAAAGACATTGTCCTTGGATACCGGGGAGGCAGAGTTTGCCGAGGATCGCCTGTGTTTTGGCAGTGTCGTCTTTCCCAAGGAGCAAAGCCTGTGTTATTACACGGTCAACCTTGCCCCCAAGTTCACCAATCTCCCCCTGGACGACCCGTCCGACTTGCCCTCCCTCGTTGTGAACGACCTCGCCAGGGACGATCGCTTCAAGGACTTGCCCTTTGTCAAAGGCCCGCCCAAATCGCGCTTCTACGCTGGTGTGCCCATTCGAAGCCCAAGCGGACACAGTATTGGCACCTACTGTGTCCTAGACGATCAGCCAAGGGATGGCTTGACACCACACCAGCTTGCTTTTTTGAAGAGCATGGCCGGCACAGTGATGCGCCATCTCGAAATGACACGAGCCACCGAGGACCAGCGACGGGGTAAAATCATGGTGAAGAGCTTGGGTTCGTTTGCCGAAGGGAAGAGCGGGCTTGAGAACTGGTGGCAGGACCCTTGGGATCTGGCTGAACAGTCAGTCACAGCAGTCATTCCTGATACCATCAATCTACCGATGCGTCAGCAGCCCTTCGCTCTTTCGACCGCTGCACTCGAGCCTATTGTGCTCGACAAGATTCAGAGTGCAGGCTCAAGCGTGCCCAGCACAAAGAATTCAACAGTAACATCGCCAGCCAGTGTTCAGCCTCCAAGTACCGCTACTCCTTGTTCCATCACCCTCCCCGAGAATCCACGTCCACTTGTGCCCACCACAACGTCCTCTACTTCGGCCAACATGCCGACCGACAATATCGCGCCCGAAGTACGTGCGACTTTTACAAGAGCCGCCAACATGATTGTGGATGCGACCGAAGCCGAAGGAGTTTCCTTCTTCGATGCCAAGATCAGCACATTTGGAGGGCTAGTCGATGATGACTTTGATCCTGATATCTTACCTGAACCTGACAAGCCATGCGTGCTTCTTGGATCAGCCATCTCCAAGACAGCGCGAGAATCGGATTCCCAGTCTGCTAACGATGTAGCCATGTCGGAAAGCGTGCTCAAGCATCTTTTGCGACTGTATCCGCACGGCCACATTTTCAACCTTGATGACGACATGGCTATGTCAGCTTTCAATTCACCCTCCGCGGGCGGTGGGGACCTAGAACTATCGGACGGGTTCCCATTTACGACGGCGCAGAAATCCGAATCCATGCGAAGCATGGATGACGAAGCTTATCTAAGAACTGTATTTCCGAAAGCGCGAAGCCTCGTGCTCTACCCGCTTTGGGATCCCCATCGCGATCGATGGTTTGCCAGCGCTGTCATTTGGAGCTCAGATCCAAAGCGCGTCTTTACAAGTGAGCAGGAACTGAGCTATCTGGCAGCCTTCAGCAATTCAGTCATGGCCGAGGTCGCACGTCTGGATACGAAACTAGCAGACGCAGCGAAAGCCGACTTCATTTCGTCAATCAGCCATGAGCTGCGGTCGCCCTTGGTATGTTGGTATTGCCTCTGACCATTTATACATACTAATATATCTATCAGCATGGCATCCTCGGAATGACCGATCTTCTAAAGGACTCCTACATTGACAACCAACAAGTCTCTCATGTTGCGACTATAGAAACATGCGGCAAGACACTTCTAGAGACTATCAATCATGTACGTGTCGAGGGCGGTTTGCCGCGCACATGTCGATGCTAATATACATAGGTGCTGGACTTCGCCAAGATCAACAATTTGACCAGGGGAGCTTCTAAGCGCCAGAAGAAACGCACTCAGAACGCGAGACACATGATCAGTCCTGGACAGCCTCACACTAACGATATCATGACTTTGATCAATGATGTCGATATGGGTATACTGACTGAAGATGTCGTCGAAAGCGTCTTTGCCGGCTACACATACGCCAAGACATCAGCTCAGACTTACGAATTATCTACACCCACATCGAACAAACCGAAGCTCTCTGTTGTTCTCGACATCAACTACAGCGGAAATTACGTCTTTCGAACCCAACCTGGGGCCTGGCGACGAGTGATTATGAATCTTTTTGGGAACAGTCTGAAGTATACGCCCAGCGGATTCGTCAAGGTGAAGCTGGAGGTGAAGAGAAAGCCTGGTGCCCTAGAGGACCGGTGCGAATTTAGATTCTCTGTCACCGACTCAGGCATCGGCATGTCCGAAGATTACATCAACAACAGGCTTTTCCATTCGTTTGCACAGGAGAATCCTCTTAGCCAAGGCACAGGATTGGGTCTAAGCATTGTCAAACAGATTGTGGAGTCCTTGGGGGGCGAGGTCGAAGTACGCAGTGAAAAAGGAAGGGGTACTAAATTCATGGTCAAGTGTCCATTGAAGGAGTCGAGCATGTCACCATCATTTTGCCCCACCGGGTCGGAGCAAGACAAGAAAAGACAATTACAGGCTATTGCCAAACGCACCAAGGGCTTGAAGGTGGCGTTCCGAGGGTTCAATACTGAAGAGGATCAATACGTGGAGGGTTTGAAGACCAAGTCCGCTTCCAAGCTATCGCTAAAGGCTCTTGACAGTCTGTGTACTGATTGGTTCGGCATGTTCAAGTGCGAAGAGGGTGACAAGGCAACCAAGCCGGACCTGATTATTGCGACTGAAGCCTGCGCCAAAATTCTGCGCTCTCATCAAAATCAGAAACCCAAGGACGCGTCAGAAGCCCCGCCCGTTATCGTTGTTTGCCCAGGCGCAGCGGCTGCTCAGTCCACAACAGCCATCACGGTCCCTGGGATCGTGTTTGAATGTATCAGTCAACCTGTTGGCCCACATAAACTCGCCAAGGCTTTGGGTTCGTGTCTCGATCGCCACACCGACCGTCAAGATGAGCTGAAATCCGGAACTGGACCCCCTGCACCAAAGATTGTTGAACTCGATCTCAAAGAGAACGCAGATCGGCACCGGACTGATCAATTCACTTACTTGCGAGACGGTTCTCGGCCGAATCTTAGCTCGATCAACAGTGCCCCTGAGATTCGCTCTGTAGGACACTGTCCTGTGAAGAAGTCCATCTACTCGGCACCCACGCGTGCACTGAACTGTCTTTGTGTAGACGACAACCCGATCAATCTACGTCTACTGCGTACCTTTGTAGACAAGTTGGGACATCGCCATGTTCTTGCTATCAACGGTCTCAAGGCTCTCGAGCATTACAAAGCTGCACATGAGCCCCCACTCTCGGAAGACGAATCAAATCGCGTCGATGTCATCCTCATGGACATCAACATGCCCGAAATGGATGGCCTCGAAGCCACGCGTCAGATTCGTGCCCACGAGATTCGGAACAACTTGCCCAAGGTCACTATTATTGCTTTGACCGGCGTTGCGGATACAGACATCCAGCAAGAAGCCAATTCGAGTGGTGTAAACCTGTTCCTCATTAAGCCGGTGCGACTTGGCGATCTGGAAGTCATTCTCAAGGGTGTGGTCACCGGGCAAGACAAGGCCGATTTAGAGTTCGAGCAAGAGAAGGAGAAGCAGAAAGCCTTGAACGCAGCTAGATTGCGAGCGACAAGTGATGGCAATGAAAAATCCAGACTTGTCAGCGTGGGTGTCAGAGCGATCAGCGAGAACGATCCTGTGCAGAAGACTGTCCGCAATCAGGAAATCAAGCGCTTATCCATGGGCTGAGCATAATTCACTTTTTACACCTTTCACATCACGGCAATATATTTCGGATATGGTGGGTTTCGACTAGGCAATGGGTCATCGGCATCGGTTTCAGCCATGCGAATTAAAGGGCATGGTAGGATGGGTAGACACCAAGTACGCATTCTGGCGTACACACATTCCACGTATATTGGTCCTTGAGGAACCAAACGCATCGGGCGGAGACGAAGACACAGGGCAATTATACCCATCGGAGAACTGCCACCCATGATGCAAACGGGGTTCGGGACAATCACATTGGGTTTCATGCTGCATCTCAGCGAGGGGTTTTATCATGCATGCATCACACGGCGTTTATATATTCTGGCTAGTTTCGTTGTCTGAGGATGAAGACGGGCGGGGGGATATGTAGACAGGTATGGAAACCTGGGATTATGATATCAAATGAAAGCATGGTGGATTTTTGATAATATGGGGTTGGATGTGTGAAGTTTTTGATTGAGCACCGTGCGATTGAGCTGTGGTAATTTCTTTTCTTGAAACCTCGTCGCGAGATTCCATCAACGTCTACTTGTGTGTGTCTTTGCTGCAAATCGGGTTGTTGTTTCCTGGCAGGATTCATAGTGCTGGTGTTTACGAGAAAGAGGGTGAAGACTTGATTTCTTTTCGCGGGAAAAGATATCACAGGGCTGACTATACCGATACGTTGGCCGCCGGAGTTATATATAACTGACTCCTTTTGTATTAATGGGAGACTGGGTTGAACAAGTATAGTACAATCCTGAGCACCACCACGGGGATGGAAATGGACAATGCGTGTGATGAATTACTTTCCCTGTATCTAGTGGTGCGTGGGTATATATTGGGGTCCCCAATTTTTCACTAGCAATCAATGTACCAGCAGCTGAATCAACTAAGACAAGAGTACCTCCAGCCTTGCCTAGATAGAATAAATAAACCACAGGATTCCGCGCCTGGCGCCGAACACCGGAAAGCATGTACATGGCAGACTAGTACAGCAGGGCAAGACCAGCCGTCTCTTTCACCTGAGAACCACATCCCTCCTAACAGGGCCCTTGAGCGCCCAAACAGCCTCGTGGATGCGCGCAATCGCCACTCTCTCCGCATACCCATCCACCCACTTGATCAGCATGACATTCAGCATCGACCACGGCCCGGCTTCAAACAGGCGCTCGTCAAATTCCGCAACCTCCTCGTCCCAGACAAAGTGCGCGCTGTCCCAGATGGGTGTGCCGGGTGGGTGCATGAGCGGGGAAGCAGGCCGCCTGGCGTGCTCGGATGGTGTGCGGCGCAGACTACGCGAGAGGAGGATGAATTCAAAGGGCCCGGTGGAGCAAGGACGGGAGATGTGAGATTCAAAGTCCATGATGACGCCGCAGTGTTGGTCCGTGTCGTCGAGGAGCTGTGAGCACGGGATTTCTTGGTCTCGGTAGTGCAGTTGCTCGGCTGTGAAGCCGTCTGCGGGAATGGCGGCGGCCGTGAAGCGCAGGGTTTGGGATTCTGGGTGTGCGTTTGAGCCGCAGGGTGCGTGGAAGTAGGGGGTGTATTTGATGCGTAGCGAGGGGCATTTTTCGCGGCGGATGGTGTAGGGTGCGGATTTGGGGCCGGTGTGGAGAGTGAGGAGTTCGGAGCGGAACCATTCGCCTTCGCTTCTTGGGGTGGTGTATACATCGGGACTGGTTGTGGGGTCGAAGGGGAAGATGACCGGTCCGTCAAAGGCTTTCCAACTCCATGATGGCTCGTCTTCCGACGTCCTACTCAGCTTCCCGGCCGGACACCATAGCAGCGAAAAGTCAAAAACGGCTTCTGGTAGACCATGGAGGAATTGGCCACCGCAGCTCTTGGTAAGCGCTTTGGTCGCTTTCGTAAATTCTTGCAGCGTGATAACCTGCTCACCAAGCGCTTTGGCGCTGACCATCTGGTTGTATTGTCGAAATCCGTAGAACCAGTTTTCCACCTCGCCCAAGCTGGAATCTTGCGACTTGTTGCTTGCTGTGCTGGCGTTGGAGGGCGAGCGGATTCTTCCTACCATGCTGCGTATGGATGCTCGGTGACCGGAGCGCGCGCTATCTGCAGAGCGTGATTCATCGCTATTGCTGGATATAGACGTAGAGGTTGGCCATGGCGATAATAGTCCATTGGCCGTTGTGGGTCTGGATTTTGCGTCTGAGCTGGACTTGCGATTTGAGATGGAGCGCCGCATCCATGATGGTGATAACCTATCCAGAGAGGGAGGGGGATTGATGTCCATAATTATCGACGACATCTACCACGATCAGGTATTTGTTATATGGACGTGCAAGCACACGTATTCCTGATACACTGAGATAAGTTGAAAATGGGGAGTTGTGGCTGAGAGGCCGGGGGAGGACGTTGCAGGACGATGGGGAACAAAACTGCTTTCCCCTTTTGTCCTTGTGCAATGTTCCTGGAAATCTTGCCGCCGGGGCGCAGTCACTGAAGAATCATCCTGCACGTGTGAGGAGGCACGTTGGGCAGTCACAGTCGCAAGTAACGGATAGTGCGTAGTGAGGCTGTGCATTAAGGTCTGGAATCTCGGTGGAACCACAACCCAATGGCTCGACTTGATTGAACGTAGTTTCGCCTTGAATCTGAGTGATCGACAAATAACCCTGTACAAGCTTTCGCTTGCAAACTCTTGCTTTTGAAAGCGAAATGCTTGTTGAGCGAGGAATGATGATTGATTTGTGTGGATCCAGTGTCTGGTCGTGGAGGTCTGGAAAGTGAAGAATCAAGATGTCTGCAAAATGGTAACTCCTGCAACTCGAGGCTCTGCAACTCGAACCTGCGTACTTGAGACTGTTGAATGGAAGACGCACGCATGACATGGATCAAAATTTATTTTTCTGCGTAGGGTAGCACTCAACGATACGCGTAACTGACTACTAGTGTAAGCGGTCATGTAACATGCTTGTACTCTAGAGTAGCAAAGTAGTCAGAACCCTCATGACGATTCCTCATTCGGAAAGGAGGAGTCCTGGTTGTCTAGAAGTATGCCACCGGGATTTCCCAGCGCTTTGAGGAAGACGAAGCAAAAGTTTGTGTTGGGTTTGTCAGCTTGGAACACCAAGGTTGCCCTGTCCAGCGTAAAGTCACGTGCATGTGCCACGTTTGCACCGCCACATATTGCACCGCCATGCAAAGAGGGGCATTGGTGCTTCTCGCGTCTTCCAAGCCAGGCTTCCGTATGACGACGCGTTGTGAGGCTGCTCCTCAACGTACGGCGTTTGATCATATTTCTCCCTCCCTTCAGCATCCATTGGCAGGTACCCTTCTGAGGCTTGTTTCCCAATCGCAATCGCCCCTGCTACTACTGTCGTTGCAATCATGTCCGGCTACGAAGGTAATGTCTTGCTCACATCTCCTATGTGTGGCGGGGGACCAGCAATTGACATGGACATGGCACAGTGGAGCACAACATCAAGGACGAACAAGCGAAACCGCCTTCTCGTCGACCAGATCTCTCCACCTTCTTCTCGCAGCTCGAGCTCGTCGACACGTCCGACCCTTCCACGCACACCAACGCCCATGCCTTGCCCCAGCCTGAGAACATGGCGGCTGCTTTTCGCCTGCTTGCCAATGCCTTTGAGATGATGCGCGGACGATGGTCGGACGAGGCAGCTGACAACAACATCAGCCGGGGTAGCACAGGTGGGGAGAGCGATTTGCTGGCCAACATGATCGAGGTGCTACGGCAAAATGCAGATGATCCGCCCGCAGAGCTGAATGGTGTGCCAGACAGTTTCTTGGATGAGTTGGAGCGGGTGCCCAAAAAGGCCCTCAAGCCAACAGATGCCTGTCCCATTTGTGTAAACCCGTTCCTTGAAGGTAAGGGTTTTGGGAAAACTCGATGTAACATGCCAATGGCAGCATGGCTTGGCTGACTCGGCTCGGAACAGACGAATATCCGCTCGTAGTTCAGCTACCGTGCCACAAAGACCACCGCTTTGATCTGGATTGCATAGGACCATGGCTGAAGCTGAACTCGACGTGTCCTCTGGACCGCAAGGAGTTACTTAGCAAAAAGAAACAGCCGCCACCCCCTGCAGACGACGACGGAGAGGACTACGACGACATGTACGCCTAGAACGCGTGGTATGACCATCATGTCTACATACCCGTACGCTCTCGCATGGTCGGCGCTATCTCTGGTTCTCTTCCATTAACCCCAGACAATATCAGAGCGGAATATGTTCGGTAGTACTTGCGGCCGGTGTGAATAGTTGCATGATTGTGTAGGCAGCCTTGCTACACATTATTGCCTATCTGCCGATGCCCAATCCAATCATGTCAGAACAACCTACACTATTACCCCACTGCTCCGCCCCAACCTCAGGCTGATCCAGAGTAACTTCCTGATCCTACTGTAGGTGTGCCTCAGGTAAAAAACGTCACTCACTTTCATGCAAGATGGCACGTGTTGTAGAAGCGTTTGCGCACGCATCTTCATCAAATCTGATGATTGACCTCGACAACCCTTTCGTTAGCATGGCTCAAGACCAGCTCAAATACCGGTCTATGTCGCCTGACTCGGCCCAGGCGTCAGCAGTGCTAATCAGCCGAACACACGTAGTCAACGTTACTATACCGGGTACCTATATGATACACAAGACCTCGAAAGCCATAACTCATCTTAGAAGAAGCAATACAATCAACTGGTAGCCATGCACATACCCTTTCTCTTCCCCCCCAAGCTTCGTTGGCCATATCTTTCTCCCTTGGACAGGTTCTGCGAGGGTGCCTGTCAATTGCAGATACGCGAAACCTTTTTCATGGTTTTCCAGATCCTTTCCCCGCCCCAAAGGCTTCTTCAGAAGCTCTAGAATAATTTGAGCCAAGGATCGGACTACCTACCGTTCATGTAGTTACAAGGCTGTGAGTTTGGTATGCTTTGTAATCACGAATCATGCATAGTGAGGAATTGTACGTACCTGATTGACTGGTTGGCGCATTGGGAATTGGTAGGCCTGTGTGCTGATAACTCTAACCGACGTTGAACTATTCAATCACATACCTACATGGCGCACGACCCACGGAGGAGTCGGTGACTAGCCAAAGCTGATTCTCGGCTCTGGATCTTCTCGCAAGCCCATTCTCCCAGAGTAGCGCGACAAAGCACTCAGTACATGAGCACAGCAAGCACGGATACCTACCCTCAGATTGCGGTGGTGTTCAAGGGTGGGTGTCAGGCGCCGCGGGCATCCAAAGAGCACCAAGACGCTGAGACCTGGATAAGGACGAATGGTGCCACTTGTGGGTGTACTAGTACCCTATGGGGAAACGTTATTCGTCCGGGTCGCAATAAGAAAAGTGTCCTGGTCATAAGCCCTACCTTACCCGAATTAGTTAACATCCTGCAGCTAGTAAATTAGTACTGCAGGGGATGCCGCTGGATAGCCCGCGACTGGTATTAATGGTATTAGTGTGTAGTATTAGTAGTATTACTATAGTAAAGGAAAAGGATTAACTTACTATAACTTAGTATATTAGCTATATATCTGTAATAAGGCTAGGCTAAAAAAAAATAGCTAGCGCTTACTAGATGCCTAGGCTAGACTTGAACAAGGTTTATAGGTTAGCGCTAGGGTCTAGCACTATTATCTGTTAAGATATATATATTATACTATGCAAGGATTACTTAGCTTAAGTATTCTTGTGCGTACCTTTTAGACCATGGCCAAGTGGTACAGGTAGGGGAGATAACGTAGTATTTATTTTATAGGTAGGGCGCCTACCTTGTTATATAATACTTAAGCTAACCTAAAGGTCTAGAGTTTAAATCTGTAGATTGTCTCTAGCTTAAATTATGCTTAGGAGACTAGGCTAGACTAGATTTGCTAGGGTTAGTGCTAGGGCCTATTTAGGACTAGGCTAGACTAGATTTCTAGGGTTAGTGCTAGGGCTTGCTAAGCCTAATTAGGGTAGAGTGGATATATATTGCCCTTAGCTAAAGAGCTTGTAGCTTACTTGTCTTAGGGACTAAGATATTTAAGGAGGGAGGTAGTGTAACAAGGCTAGGCTAAAAAAAAATAGCTAGCGCTTACTAGATGCCTAGGCTAGACTTAAACAAGGTTTATAGGTTAGCGCTAGGGTCTAGCACTATTATCTATTAAGATATATATATTATACTATGCGAGGATTACTTAGCTTAAGTATTCTTGTGCGTACCTTTTAGACCATAGCTAAGTAGTACAGGCAGGGGAGATAACGTAGTATTTATTTCATAGGTAGGGCGCCTACCTTGTTACAATATCTATATTTTCACCCCTTATAGAAAAATAATTATCTAACGTAATAAGACACGTGGCTTAGCTACAAGCCTCTATAGTACTCTAGCTCTGCTAGAGTACTAGGAGCTATATAAGGATTTAGTAGAGGGGCTAGTAGTTATAGAGCGTGTAACTAGGTTAGTAGCTACTATAGTAGCTACTATAGTAGAAAATATAGGTATACTAGTTACTATAGGTAGCCTATTTAACTACTAATTTAACTATTAGAAGGCTAATTTTAGTAGTTAAAATTAGTAGTATATAATATATATTAAGTTAGTAGTAGTAGTAGTAGTAGTAGCTATTAATATTAAGGTTAGTAATAATACTATAGTATAGGTAACTATAGTAGAGGTAGAGGTTATAGGTAAGGGTAAGGAGCCTATAGATAGGTAGAGGCTAGTAGGGGTTATAGTAAAGGTAGAGGTTATAAGCAAGGTAGAGGCTAGGTTTAGGGTAGGTAAGGGACTATATATACCTACTTAGTAGGTTACTACTACCTTATATAGGCTAGTATTAAGGCTAGTAGTAAGGCTAGGTTATTATTATTAAGCTATTTAGCTATAGTAGGCTTGCACCTTATACTAGACTACCTAGCGCCTTTATAGTAAGAGTGTTTTACGCGTTAATTAGTAATAATAGTCTTAGGCTTATAAGGGGTAGTAGTAAGTGTAAGGCTAGGAGCCTATCTATAATTAACCTACTAATATAGGTAGTAATTACTAGCTTATAGGGCTATTAAATAAAGCTTAAGATCTATAAGTTTATACTAATAGGGTAGACTAAGCAAGGTAGTATATCCCCTATTATAGGTAGTAAAGTAGTAGGTAGGATCTACCTATTATTTGCATATCTTATTATAAGCTTTAATTAAGGTTTTTATAGTTACTAATAGGGTATACCTTATTATACGCCTAAATACTACTATAAATAGGTACCCCTAGTAGTTAAAATAAAGCTAGTAATTAGTAGCTATGTTTATAAGTTCTATAGTATATATATATTTACTATAGAACTAGAGTAACTACCTAAATAGGGTAAGGATATTACTCTAGCTACTACGTAGCTAGTCTTTAATTGCGTAGTAGGCGCCCTCTACTTTACTTATTATAGTAAGCCTAAAGTAAGGTTATTAGTTAATATAATAGCTTATAAGCTTATTAGTATAAAGGTCTAACTAATACTACCTAAGATAACTAGTAGTAGTAGCTAAAAAGTTCTTGCACTTCTATAAATTACTGTAACAATAAGGCAGAATTGCCTGCCTATTGTTCTATGCCAAGTTAGGCCTAATAAAGGCCTAACTTACTAATGTATATAGAGAACAGCTCGCCTATAGTTAGGATAGGCATGTTCTTCTTGTCCTTTTGTACAAGACCTATAGGTGTAGGAATCTTATCCTTTTTTATATAGACGCGCACTCCTATATACCTTTAAGTTATATAGGATACCTTTTAGATACCCTACCTACCTAAGTTATTATATTATAAGAAGAATATTATCCTAGCTAGTAATAGCATTTAAGAATATTATATTTATTGTTATTTTAAGCTACTAATTTAGTTCTAGTAGCTACCTAACCCTATAACTCTATAGTTAGAATAGCTATTAGAACTTCTAATAACTAAAGCCTATAGGCTTAGACTTCTAGACCTATAAGTAGTGCTAGATTACCTTTAGAAAAATCGCGTTAGATTACGTTAAGGTAGAGACCTAGAGACTACTAAAAGCCTAGAGGAATTAGAGGTAAAGCTAATATCCTCCTATAACTAAACCCCCCTAAAGGAAAGATTTATTATTCTTATTAACTACAAAATATTAGATAAAGGTAAAAGAAGGGTATCTAGTTTAGCTACTTTTAAAAGCCTATTTACTAATAGAAAGAAATTAGATAAGGAAGACTTAATTAATAACGCCCTCCTTAAAGGACCTGCTTCCTATCTATCTCTTAAGGTACCTTGTGCTCCTAGGAAATCTTAAAGTAATACCTCCCTTAAAGATAAATATATATTAACCCTATCTAAAAAGGAGAGGTTAGAGGAATAAGTTAAATAACTTACTAATTAGTTATATAACACCTCCCTCTATAAGGAGATATAGGGTACTATCTAACCTAGCTAGTCTTTAGCTTCTATATTAAACCCTATAGTATATACTATAAAAGCTAAGAGATAATCTAAAAAGATGCTAAATATCTCTATACTTAGTAATAGTGCTAACCCTACTTTTAGATAATAGCAAGCATCTATTTAGGATAGGCTAGAGATTAATACTAATTACTACCCCTCTTCTAGAGCTTAGATAGCGTTAGTCTAGGGACACTACTTAGGACTAGCAAGAGAATACTTAGAGCTATATTACCTATCTAATTCCCTAAGTCTTTAATTCTAAAAAGCTAAGGAAATAATTACCCTCCTTTAAACTTACTTTATTACTAGAAATAAGATAGCTAAGAATTAGACTATATTTAACCGCCTATATATAACTAATATAAAGATATTCCCTACTTTTAAGTTATAATTCTAGAGTCTTGCTATTAGAGAAGAAGTACCCTAATTAGAGTAGTATTACTACCTCTAGATAAAGATTACACCTTCCCTAAGGATGCTAAACCTTGCTTTCTAATAGAATTAGCATAATAATTTTAAGACTATAGTAGATTATCTTACTACTTTTAATATAGAACGCTACCTATACCTTACCTTATCTACTCCTACCTAGACTACTCTATTATCTAGAAAAGGACTAACCCCCTTCTAATACTCTAGAAACTAGTCCTATTTAGACGCTAATTAGAAACCCTATAATAGACCTTTAATAGCTAAACCTTATATGCCCTACTTGTAATAATAAGGCACTACCCCTTAAAATAATTAACCCCTATCTACTACTCTAGCTACTCCTAGCGCTACTACAATAGGAACCCTAGTAACTTACTATAATTATAGAAAGCCTAGGCACTTCTCTAGTAACTGCCCTAAACCCCCTAGGATTTAGGCTATAGATATAGAATAGGTTGCTAAGAATTCTAAGAAAGAAGATACTACTAAATTAACTAATTTAGATAGCTATTAGACAGGAAATAATAACGCCTAGGAGGATTCTCCTTCCTAGGCCTAACTTAATATAACCTATTAAACCTTTCCTTAACTAAATTATTTTTTAGTTTCTATTTACTTGCACGTATAACCCTATACCTTAATAGATCTAGTGTTTACCTAAACGCTTTAGTAGATACTAGGGCCTAAGGTTACTTATTTCTTAATTTAAAAATTACTTATAATATCTCTTCTATACTTAGGGTACCTATCTAAAAGCTACTATATAAGCTTACTATTAAAGGGTTCTAGGATTAGATTACCTCCCTAGTTACCTACTATATTTAGCTTTATATAATAGTTAGTAGCTAAAAGGTTTATAACTGCCCCTTTATAATAGTAGACTTAGGTTCTTAGGATTATATTATTAGATAACACTAGCTAAAATAGTTCTAAATCCTAATTAATATAGATAAATCTTAACTAATCTAGCTAGAGAAATATCCTCTAACCTATAACCCTGCACCTCCTATTCTAGTATAACTCTACTAGTAAGTGCTATCTACTCTAGTTACCTATAATATCTTGTAAAGAGACGCCCTTTAGGATTAAGAGGAGAACTAGAACTAAAATAGTCCTAGTTTA